TTTCATCTACTTACTTTTTCCCCCCTTTGGGTCTCAGGTCATGTTTTATTCCTTAGCTGTTGTGACATTCGGAATTGCAGTTCCGGCTGGCCAGTTCGTTCCAGGAATAATGATTGGATCTACATATGGAAGGCTTGTTGGAATGTTTGTTGTCAAGTTCTATAAGAAACTAAACATTGAGGAGGGCACGTGAGTCCTTGCCATCTCTTTGTATCCACACATGCAATATTGCCATATTAATTTATGCTCGCTTTGTGTTATAGTTTTTGCGTTGAATAGACCTCGACGTCACTATTCTTTTGTTGAAATGGGGATGCTATTTGATGGTTTCTTGCTTAGAACTTGACAGAATTTCTATTCATTATCAATATTCTTGTAGGTATGCACTCCTTGGTGCTGCATCGTTTCTTGGAGGTTCAATGAGAATGACTGTATCTTTATGTGTTATCATGGTTGAGATTACAAACAACTTGAAACTCTTGCCATTGATCATGCTTGTTCTTCTAGTTTCTAAGGTACTAACTTTACAATCCATGACTCCTAGTTGAACAGAATGAATGGAACGTATCTGCTGATTTCAGTTTATGTAGGCGGTTGGTGACTTCTTTAACGAAGGGTTATATGAAGAGCAAGCCCGATTAAGGGGCATCCCTTTACTGGACTCCAGGCCTAAGCAAGTCATGAGAAATATGAAAGCAAGGGATGCGTGCAAGAATCAAAAGGTTCTGAAGTTTTTACTCCATTTATCTATTTAAGTGGACTGTGGACATTACCATGCATCACTATTATTACCAGTTCTGATGCATCCAATCCTTTGCCACCTATTTAAGGTTGTCTGTCTACCGCGTGTTTCAAGGGTCGTTGATATCATTTTCGTTTTGCGAACCAACAAGCATAATGGCTTCCCTGTAAGTTTCGTTCGCAGTTGTTAAACAAAGTTTTCGTGGGGTTTTGACTAATTGATTTTTTCTCCCATTCTTTTCTTGGTTCAGGTTGTTGACCGTGGGCAGAATGGCGAGTCACTTGTCATAGGTCTTATACTTCGTAGGTAAGATGCAATGCTATACACTCTTGAACTTTTTTTAATGTTTGGGAACTGGGGGTTTTAATTATTGCATTCTGTGAAGGAGACCAAGGTCAATAAGTTAAGACTAGTCAATGGGCCAGTAAGGTGAACTATATTATGCATATATTAATCAATATACCGATCTTGTTGTCCTCTTGTTGCAGCCACTTACTGGTACCTCTACAAGCTAAAGTAGATTTCCAGAACAGTCCTTTCCCTTGTGGGCCAGGCGTACTGAACAGGTTTTTGTTTTTCTATTTATAAGCCAATATAATAGCACATCCAATGCACGTTTTCTGGTAATAATGCAATATTTTTTCTATTACTTAGGCACAATTTTAGTGACTTTGTTAAACCAGCATCAAGTAAAGGAAAGTCAATTGATGATATTCATTTGACAGAGGATGAACTGGGGTTGTATTTGGATCTTGCCCCATTTTTAAATCCTTCACCATACATAGTGCCAGAGGACATGTCGTTGGCAAAGGTAAATCATGTCTTTTACTTTTGGATCTTATATCTATTTTGCTGAGTCAGTTGTGTGATAATCTTTATACCGATGGTTTCAGGTGTACAATCTCTTCCGTCAACTTGGATTGAGACATATATTTGTTGTTCCTAGGCCTTCTCGTGTTGTAGGATTGATAACCAGAAAAGATTTGTTACTTGAGGTGATAAGTTATACTTTTAGCTTAAGAGTCGAGGAATATTTTTTATTATCTGGAATCCCTTTTACGAGTGTTATGGTATTTCAGGAGGATAGCAACAACGATGTGATGGCGGAGCTCCAATCGACGAGTGTAAGGTTTTGATGCTCCTGCCCCCCAGATATTATTTGCATCTGCAAGCCTGTACATTGTCACAAGTAACTTATATTCTGATTGCATTCGCTTCAAAACTGAGGTTTCAATTACTGGGCTGCTATTGGTGCCTGCCTGCCTGGTGAACATTGTTAGGAGCTCTCGTAACATTGCATTGGCAGTAAATTCCATTTGCATAGATTTTTGGTTAGATGCTCATGACATGCTAGAGAGGAAATCTTGGAAGGCTGATTGTAAATCATTGAAACATTCTGGTTGCATCTGCACAACACTGTCTTAATTAGCGACATTTTTGACTGATAGAGTTATTTTTATGCGCAGGAGCTTACTGAACGGCAAAATGCTCGGTGGTAATGTACATCTGGAACGTCCTCTTCTTGACAATCTAGTGATTGAATAGATACATAGCGGCATTTGTCTCGAGATAATTTTGATAGCTAGCTGTTAACCTTGCACTGCATGTTGGGCCATGGGTATCCCGTTCCCTTACTTTACATGAATGAAGCGGCGCTGAGCGGATAATGCAGCATGGTTTGGATTCTGCGAAGTGTTGCGCATGGACGTTGACCGTTGTGCATCACTTCGCTCGGCCTGCGGTGGCTATTCAGGTGATTTCCCGGTGCCATGTTTAGATTAGGTGATTGTAAAAGTGTTCATACACTGATACACATCATCCATGTATCCCACAACAATTCCCACGGTAAATTTCCAAGGCAATGTTTTGGCGGTTGTAAGTAGATATTGTCATCTGTGATACGATGATAAAGATAAGCTACGTAGATTTGCTTGTTCTTTCATGGAAGTATGATACGAGGCTACAAATTTCCTTCCGTTCCGGTTGTATTCGCTGGAATATTCCATTGATTCCATGCTGCCCGGTCCCGATCTGTTTTTGCGTGCCTGGAGAACGAAAGGCGATGCGTTTTTTTTTCTTGAAACAGACGGGTGGTTGGATTATTGTCTTAACCTATAGGGTCATGCTAGCGCTCGGACACTCGCGTGCTGCTGAGACTGCTGGCTTGCTGCACTTAACCACAATGCTTTGCGCCCTGCGCCCGCCGTTGCTATTGGGTCCGTGCGTGCTGCTGCTGCACCTGCGAGCTTGCTGCCGCCTGCCCGTGTGCTTCGCGCCCTGCACCTGCTGCTGTTGAGTCCGCATGTGCTGCTGCTGCGCCTGCACAGGAGAGCGTGTGCGTGAGGCCCGCCAGCTGCATGCGAGAGAGGGTGGGAGCATAGCGCGCATACCCGTGGTGATGACCCTGGTTGCATGCTGCATGCTCCACCGTGGGGACCAAAGCCTAGTGGTGTAGGGGTGTCTCATTCTGCGTTCGTTTGGTACTGGCCCGCTGTGCTCTGCATGCGTGCATGCACTTTGATTTGACTAGGGAGTGCTCGGCTATTTAGGCACTGGCTGCTCGTTGTGTGCACATCCAACTATTAGAGCTGGCCCGCATAACAGAGATAGACAGCGCTAGATGGGTGCGTGCAGCGAGTGCGTGCCCATAAGTCAGAGCGCGTGGGGACTGTAACGTATTGAAACCATATGAAACAATTAAAACATACATTTGCAACATATGTGTATAACCACTGCAACAAATAACAACATCCAGATAAAACACTTGCAACATACTCCCTCCGGTTCTATAAAGCTAGTCGTTTTGAGGTTGTCTTAAGTCAAACATTTTAAACTTTGACTATAAATAACTTCTTTTGGGTTGAGTTTGAAAATATGAAAGTGATGTAAGTAGATTCATCTCGAAATGTAGTTTTATAAAAGTATATATTGACTATATTTTATAGATATTTTATAGCAAAAAGTTGCAGTCAAAGTTGTTTCTTAAAGACCGTGTCGATGTCCAAAACGACTTGCTTTAGAGAACCGGAGGGAGTACGTCTGAAATAGGTGAAATATTTGGAGCATACATTTGCAACATACGTGTATAACCACTGCAACATATACAACATCCAGATGAAAACATGCAACATCTTGATGAAACAGCTGAAGCATTTGGAAACACACACTTGCAACATACGTGTATAGCCACTGCAACATATGCAACATCTATATGAAACACTTGCAACATACGTTTGAAACAACAAAAACATTGGAAACATACACTTTGCAACACACGTGTATAGCCATTGCAACATATGCAACACCAGATCTACTTTTGCAACATCCAGTGAAACATATGCAATATATATCTGAAATGCATGAAACATACGGTTGCAACGCATGCTCATCTACTTGTCACGCCCAATGAAGGTTTGATGGTGTGCAGTGCGGTAAGTATGCGAGGCGCGAGACGCGGCAACGTCTTTGTCTGGAGGCGCACGGTGTGAAAGGCAGGCGGTGTGCTGGCAGCACAAGACGCGGCGTGGGGGCGCGCGACGACGCGGGCGGTCGGTGCGACCATGCGAGGCGCGAGGTGTAGGGGCGCCGCGCAGGCGGCGAGGCGGAGGCGAGGGGGGCAAGCGCATGAGCGGTGGTGCACGGGGACCGCTGCGACCGTGCGAGGCGCAACATGCAGGAGTGCATGGCGCAAGGCGGGAGACGCAAGGGCGTGAGACGCGAGGCGGGTTCGTCAGGTGCTGCCGTAACCTAAACGAGTTTCTATCCAACACGCAGAGGAGTTCGTATTGGTAAAGTCTGATGGTAACAGGAAAGGGAAGGGTTTTCCGCGCTTGGCTAATAACTAAATAAATCAAGGAGCGCACTTGACTAATAATTAAATATAAATAAATCAAGGGGGCCTCTGGCTTGCACCATTGAGATCAGTAAAATTGAGAAGAATCCGGTTTCTGAATACTGCAATTTCATCACAACAACAACCAAAAAAAAAGAAGGCTCATCACAACAAGAAAAGAACTAAAGAAGGCCTGCCCAGCCAGCATATAGCAATCAGAAGAAGGCCCAGCCAGCTCGCCACACACCTGCGAAGACACCAGGCCCACCGAAAAAAATCCGAACGTTCTCCTCTTTCTTCTGCTCCAAGACGAACTCGGTGAACTCTTTCCGGTTCGTTCCTCCCCCTACGTATATACGCCCGTCTCTCTCTCCTCGCGCAACATCGGAGCACCACACAAGCGAGGAATCCAGTCCAGTCCCGGCAATGGAGTGCGTTTTGGGCGTGGTTGGCCGCGACTTCGCGGTGGTGGCGGCCGACACCTCCGCCGTGCAGAGCATCCTCGTCCACAAGACCGACGAGGACAAGGTGATGGTCCTCGACTCGCACAAGCTGATGGGCGCTTCAGGGGAGCCTGGTGACCGGTAGGTTCCTCCGCCCTCGCCGATCCGTCCGTTCGGCGGCCCGGCCCGTCGATTCCATGTTCGCTTTTCTAGGGTTTTTGTGTGTGTCGCGCGATCTGATCCCGATCTGCCTGGGTTTCCGTGGGTCCTGATTTGGGGGCGTTTCTATTGGCGCAGGGTGCAATTTACGGAGTTCATACAGAAGAACCTCCACCTTTACCAGTTCCGCAACACCATCCCGCTCTCAACCGCCGCCGCCGCCAACTTCACACGCGGCGAGCTCGCCACAGCCCTTCGCAAGGTACTAATCCGAATTAATCTTGTTCCTCTCTTTGCGCTACTGGGTTTGCCTGCGAAAAGGTTGGTCTTTTAGAGTGGAATTGGGGTTCTAGAGTTTGGTTCGGGGTAGATTAGGGTTAGGCGTAGTCAGGTGTAAGGGCGATTTGGGCGTTCTAAGGTTCGATTGGATGGAGATTATTGCATGTTGTTCAAGTTGTAGTCGAGGGTGATTACAGAGCAAGTTAATTTTGTGAAGAGGGGCTGATTTCATAAGCCAGGGGCATGGGTGGTACGATTGAGGAATTATGGGCAATTAGAACAGGGGGTAAGAGACATGCCTCCGAGTTTTCTAAGCACTTTACCCATTTGTTTTAGTGGTTTGTGGACGAACTGGTTCAGTTCCAGTCATTTACTAATATTCAGTAGTAACCTAACATCTTCTAGTGAAAAACAGAACATCACATGGCAGCTTCTAATGAACAGATGAGATTTGGTGAATTGAATCGTGCAGGCTTGCCAAAGATTGTTTTTTTAATGCCTCTGTAGTTTAAGGCCATCCCCTGTGTTGTCTGAGGGGAAATATATGGTGTTGCATATGAGATTTGCTCCTAGAATCAGTTAGCACCATGCTGTTCATTGCTCTAGTTTGAACAAATTTGTGTGGTGCAGATTCCTGTATTTGAATTGTAGCACAACTGTGTGATGTGGACTAGCTACAAAATTCTTAGGCCATGGAAATCATATTTATGTTATATATGTCTATTTCTTGATGTCTAGGTATCTTGCTATTATTGTTATCTTTAAGCCAGAACCCAGAACAGTTAAAAAACGATTACATATTTACACCCTATCTTTCCAGTGTGATGTCTGCCATTTATTTGGTATATATATACCATAATTTATCATGCGGCCATAGCCCATACCCAAATAAGTCTTAAGATAAGTCAAAGTAAAACATGGTAGCAGATTAGGTGGCATAATCCTGCTTGATGTGTATGCTTTGCATTCCCCAACAATTTTAGCAGCATGCCTTCAGTTTTCCAGCAGTAGGTTCATGTTCATGGAACTCCTGTAGACACCAGTAATTCATGTACAAGTAGATCCGCTCTGATTTCAGATTGATCGTTGCAATGGGTGGCACTGTTTATCATGTTGTAGTATTTGCCTGTGATTGAATTGCATTGGTTCTAATTGCTATATATTGTATTTTGAGGGAGCACTGGGCTGTATTTGCCACCATTTGTTATCTCATTCATAAAGAATTGCAGCCAATGTTCAATAATACTTGTTTGTTTTGCTATTTTTCTAGGAGCACTTTCGTTGATAACACCTTTTTCTTCATTTTTTGTCTGCTTTGTATTATCCTCTTTATTGAGGTTTTAATACATTAACATTCCTCTCCCCTGACACATGTTTCATATTTACCTTGTCAGAATCCATATATGGTCAATATTATTCTTGGTGGTTATGATAAGGATGTTGGCGCTTCCCTGTACTACATCGACTACATTGCAACCTTGCACAAAATTGACAAGGGTGCTTTTGGGTACGGATCATATTTCTGCTTGTCTCTGATGGACAAGTTGTACCACCCGGACATGACTGTTGAGGAAGCAGTAGATCTTGTTGACAAGTGCATTAAGGAGATTCGGCTGCGATTGGTTGTTGCGCCCCAGAACTTTGTGATCAAGATTGTCGACAAGGACGGGGCGAGGGAGTACGCGAGGCGTGAACTCGTCGGCCACAATGCACCTGTTGAAGCTGCAACCACAGTTGCCGCCTGAGGCATGAACTTGTTTGAAAGTTAAACTGTGTTAATTGTTTCTCAGTGAGGCTACTATGTAATCACAGGATACTGGTGGGGGTCCAAGAACTGTTTTATCAATTTTAGCCCAGACGTGTAATTCTGTTTCTGCACTATTCACGTCTTTGCTGAGTACAAGTGGTGTTTGACGCTTGACAATGCTGCCTGTGCACCATTTCTGATCATTGAAATGAACAGAAAACCCGTGCCAACTACACAACGCATAGCTGAAAATCTACGCTGATGCTGGGCATCCTTCTCTGCTGACTATTACAACAACGCCAACCCCTTGGAGCTACGTACCATACCATGGGGTGCCTTGAGGAAAAAAAAATTATGAGGCACCGTCTGGACGCTGCACACAACAGGTACTCAGGTAGGGACGGAGGGGCAGGCTGAGCGTGCTGGTCCGGTCGATGCCGAGCGCAGCGCAGAGGCACTGTGCGGCCTCGACCGAGCACGGCCCTGTTCGTTTGCATTATAAGTCATGGCCATGTAAAAGTATTAGGCTGGTTTGGTGTGAGACAAAAATACTGTTCGTTGGCTGATAAACCATGGCTTATATAAGCCAAATACGACAAAACGAATAGTCTGCTGAGCTGCGAGCAGCAACGGCTGAGCGCCGCCATCGCCTCGTCGGCGCAAATGTAGTCGACGAACGACAACAGACTCACCAGCATTGATGTACACTTGCTGTTTTTTTTATTTTTAACACTTTTTGTAAACTAATTTTAAATCTAACACTATTTTTTTTTTAAAACTAACATTTTTGGCCGCGCCTAATGCCATGGCGCGGCGAAACGTCTCTGCCGCGCCATGCATGGTGGCGCGGCGGGAGTATGACGTGGCGAAGACCGGGTTCGCTGACCGGTGACGTGGCAAGGTCTGTCGCGCCACCGATCTTGGCGCTGGCGATGACGCGCTCGATCGGTGGCGCGCGTAGACCAACTAAAAGGCCCGCATTGCCTGCCCATCCATCTGCTGCCCCGCCGCCGCGCTCGCGCCTTGCCTGCTGCCCGCGTCCACTTTGCGCGCGCGCCTCCGTTATCTCCCAAGTTTGTCGGGCACCCGGCCCTTCGTTGCCGCCTCCCTCCCTCCCTTCCCTTCCATTCCCCGGCTGCCTTCCTCCCTCCTCGGCCTCATTCAAGGTAATGACGCACTTTTTATTTTCGTTTGAATGGTGGATTGAAATATTATGAATGGGAGTTAAGGTTAAGAGGAAAATTATGTTTGGGAACTATGGACTATGGTTTGATTTTGCCGATGTTAAGATTAATTATTTAGTTAGAAGTATGTTTACCATGTATATTTCTGTGGCTATAAGTGTTGGCTACATTATTTGAGTTGCAATGCAAATTATTATATTTTACATTAATTTGCGTTGTTTTGATTGATGTTTATTTTGAACCATTTTATTAGACGTAAGACATGTTTCGGGAGCAGTTGTGACGAAAACGGGGTCGTCCTAGAGAATTGTACCCCGACGAGTCTAGCAAAGATGTCCCCGTCCCTCCTGACCTCCCTGTCCCTAACTGTGACTGTGGTTGTCCGGCCGACGTGTTTCAATCGAGACATCTGGTCACAGCGGCTCGTTGCTTCTACACATGCAGTCGTTTTAATGTAAGTAATTATTTCCGTATGTTTTTTTCTTCATTTGTATTACTAGGTTACTAATATTATGTTGAAATTTTGTTGTGTAGACCCATGAGTGGTGCTTTTTCTTTCAGTGGATCGATGGTGCAAACAAGTTTGACCTCAGATACCTCCTTTTCGACGATTGGTGGAGAGAGCGACATCTACGAGAGCACTTCGAGCGGTGGGTTCCACCTCCCCCCTAACCCCCCTTCAATGACGGCTAAGGAGAAGCACTTAGCCACAGTTAGACGACTCGAGGAACCTCCTCCGTGTTATTACGGAGATCGAGTTGTGATAAACCCTGAGAATACGTTGGAGTTTGTGTGTCCAAACAAGCATAAAGTAAGTGCAAAGTGTATGTGTTCAAATGTTGAGCTATATGTGTTCATGTACTAATGTCACCTTATTTAGGTGTTTTCAATGGCGAAGTGTCGTTTCAAGGAGTGGTTGTATGGTCCTAAGAACCAATGGCCGGAAGAACCGCCAAAGGTTAAGGAAAAAAAGAAAGAAAGGGTAATTTATAAAGCACCTCTTGTCATGTGCGAATGTGGTATTAAATCCAACTATGGCCTAGTCCCTTCGGAGCTTGGAATAGGCCATTATTGCGGCCATATGGATGACTATGATGAGGTTGGTTATTTTTGTGGTAAACATGAAATCATATTTTGTTTATTTTGCTAAGACATATATGATATAATTTTTCGTTTGAACAGAGTACTATGAAATGCATGTGGAAATATTATGATGGTCAAGCTAAGTTCTTGGATGAACTGACGGGGAGGCAAGTAATTGCACGGAAGAGAGGATTTGGACCTGATTACATCAACCTATTCGTTAAACATCACAAAGACAAGATGCGTGAGTTTGCTAGACAACGCGGTATTCGTAACCCGATCGATGTTGGGCTTGACAAATGGAGATTGGAGAGACGAAGGGTGTTAGAGGAGAGAGCAAGCAAGGAGGCAAGGGAGGAGACAAGAGTACAGATACAGGTCTTGAATGAGCATGTTGTTGCATTATGTGCCAGTGAGTGCTTGAAGGCCATATTTTTCGTTGCCTGATTTTAAATATAATATAATCGCGTTGCTAACTGATTGCATTTTATACATGAAGTAATTGGATGCAGCAAGGACCATGACGGAGAGGTGACTCATGTAAGGTATGAGTAAAAGAAGTTAGATGAGCACAGAACGCGAGCTGGTCGCACCGTTCAATCATCGATTGTGCTGTCTGATGAGAGGGACGAGGATGAGGACGACACTACCAGACTGAGCGAGCTCATCGCTCTAGCAAAGAAGGGCTTGCAGGCGGAGGAGGCTGAGGACGACACTGGCAAACTGAGCGAGCTCATCGCTCTAGCAGAGACGGGCTTGCAGACGGAGGAGGATGACGATGCGTTCTTCACTCAGTCCGCAGAGGCCGTAGATGAAGTGGAGGCCGCTTACTACAGACGAAAGGTAGATCAGGGCAATGCAGGTGACCCTAGCCATAGCAACAGGGTTGTGGTAGATGATTGGTACTCAGATAACGAGTTGCTTACTCAGTATGTTTCTGACTGAGGGTTTTTTATTGCGCCGTCTGTTAGTTCCATGCTTTATTAATGATCAATGTAGCTATGTACTAGAACTTTCATTGTGTTGTCTTGTTTTTTCTTTTGAACTATTGATGTATTATACCCATGTATCATGTACTCGGATTACCCATGGTCAATCTTAAGTGATCCCATCCGTTTTTCACCCTCCGACCCATCCGTTTGTCGCTCTCCGATGCATCTAAGTTTTTTAATAATAGCGAATGCGTTGAGAATTTCTAAAACGAATAAAATCGAGTGAAATTATTTCGAATACGGTTGGCTGGCATATATATCTTGCATGTTTCCCATGTATTTTAAAACAGTATCATGTAATTTATGTTATTAGCATCAGATCAATGTAAAATAACAAGGCCCACGGCGCGACACGTTTGGCAGATCGATGTTCTCGTTTGGCGCGCAACCCTAAGCCCAGGTTCTGCCGTGCCATAGCCAATGGCGCGACAGTGACGCACCAAGGCCCACGGCGCGGTAGGACCTGGATGCAGACAGCAGCCGACCAGCCTCAATTTCGATTGAACGGGAGTTGTTGTCAGTGCTGTAAACAACTACAAGTGCTGCCGCGACGCATTGAAACGAATATGAAGCAAATAAATGGATTCCGTGCGCAAGTTAATAAGTTGGCAAGTTGCCACATAATATTTGTATTGGTTCATGAGTCTGCAAGTTTCAGACGACAATATTCGTTCGACATAACCAACTAATTTTCAGGAGTGTAAGGATCCCTCTGTATCTTCAGATTTGTAGGCAACACAGTGAGAGTGTAGCCAACATAGGTGTGGGGCAAGGGCACCTCTGCGTCGGTGTCAGTCAAGAAGTGTGCTTGGTGCGGGTCGTCGTACTCTACCTCAAGAAGGGGATACAACTGATGCTGCGTGGGAGGGGCTATCCTGTTACAAATTGATAAACAAAGAGTTAGAGTATTCAAATTAACAATATTTAAATTAACATTATGTAGCATTGCAAAATTTGAACTACTTGTTATGCAATACAAACACAATATGAAAAGCACATGTATATATTCAAAGTAACATTAACAATATGAAAGCACATGCTGCCCTTGTTTTCTATGCATGCTAGCCTTATGACCAGGGACTTTGCAAACGAAGCAAAGATTCCTACCACGGGTCTCATTGAAGTCTCCCCCTCCGTACATGTCTTCGCCGTACCCTCTCATAGCGTCCATGTCCCCCTTGAGTCGTTTTTTCTTCCTCCTACCCTTCCCTACCTTCATTAGATCTGGATGCGGCACGTAGTCATAACCATTATAAGGTGGCCACTATGTTGGGTCAAGGTATGGCTCGAAGCTCATCTCCCAAATACTAACGGTGTTTGAACGTAGATACAAGGGTGACATATATGGTAAATTCTCATAGTTGTACCAACGAACCCTGTAGGCCATGATCATATGAGAGCAAGGAGCATGCATGATCTGAGTGACGTTGCAACTGCACTCTACCTTTTCAAGATCAACTCGATAGTTTCGTCCACCATAACGTTCGCCGCCCAAGCTTGTGCCACCCTTGCCCCGTACACTAAAGATATCGCGGTGAGGTCCATATGGCTCTGCGGTGTGCTGATTGGCCAATTCCTCGGCCTCCTTCAAATGTTCTGCTCCGGCCTTTCCAAAACGCCCCTGCTCAGCTATATTCCTCTGCGCAAGTTTCCACCTCTTGACAAAATATTCGTTGCACTTATGAAAGGAGAACTCAACAATTCCAGACACAGGCAACGATCAAACTCCGGTGAATACA